GTTTTTATATTATTGTATTGAACATTGTAGATGAGTTTGTCGTGTAGTTTTTATAGTATTGTATTGTTCATAAACTATTTGTTGTGTTTATTGCATTAGTTGTTGCACTGAACGATAAACTATTTGTTTGAGTTGTAATGATAACGAAATTGAACTATTTATTGTCGATTTATTTTGTTTGTTTGATCATTTTTGCTCATTAAAACATGTATATGTGGTTTGTGCGGCGCGCGCGCTGTATTTTTGCGCTCTGCTGGAGCGGCGCGCGCGCTGCATTATAGCGCGGCTGCTGGAGCCAGCGCAGGCGGGCGCGCTAAACCAGTCGAAGCGCGCGCGACAAACAGGTTTTTTGCGCGCGGCGCTTATTGCGGCTGTTGGAGATGCTCTTAGCACCGGTACATTTTTGAGCATTAGAAAGAGCCTAAGAGCGTCCATTGTAGGTAAAATGCTGCTTGTGGTAGTGGCGTGTGGTCGGCTGGGCTGTTAGAACATGGTGATTTCTTTTAATGGAAATAAGTTCTCTTTATCAAAAAAAAAAACTGTAAAATAAACAGTTTATCATTGTCCCGGTCTCAGCGATATAACACGGCTGCTCATCTCAACCTCACCGATATAATCCTTCGATGCACAGAGGCACGCACGCAGTGACGCAGACCACTTACGACCTTAGAGGAATGCGAGTTCGTCTCAGGCAGCCGGGTCGCAGTGAATGGAAGAGTTGCTCTCAATGAACGCCTTAATTTCCTCCACGACCCTGCCAGCGTCGGGGAGCTCCGGGAAGCCGTAGAAGGCGTGGAAGGCGTCCGGGAACTCCACCAGGCGCACCGCCTTCCCCTTGCGCCGCAGCATGGCGGCGTACCGCCGCTGCCAGTCCTGCAGTGGGTCGACCCCGCCGACCACCACCATCGCCGGCGGGAACGCCTCCGCCAGCTCGGGCTCCGGGCCGGCCTCCCCCGTCACGTGCGCCGCCGGGTGATTCCGGTCGGCCCCCTCCGGCAAGAATGCCCTCCACGACCAGTCGGAGCGGCGCATGTTCACGAGCGGCGCCACGCCCTCCAGCCTCAGCTCCGCCTCCGTGCGCTCCTCGCCGCCGAAGTACGGCTGCAGTAGGATGACGCCGGCGAGGCGGATGGGGCTGTTGGAGGAGGACGTCCAACGGTGGGCGACGTGGTGGGCGATATTGCCGCCGGCGCTGTCCCCGGCGAGGAAGCAGCGGGAGAGGTCGACCGGGGCCGCGACGTTGGCGGGGAGGCCGGTGGCGCCGAGGTAGCGGAGCACGTCCACGCAGTCGTCGTAGGCCGCGGGGTAGCGGTGCTCGGGCGCGAGGCGGTAGGTGACGGAGACGACGACGGCGCCCAGCCCACGGCAGAAGCGGCGGCACATGCCGTCGACGGACGTGGACGCGGCGGAGAAGAACGTGAAGCCGCCGCCGTGGACGTAGACGAGGACGGGGAGCGGGGTCGACGTGGCCGCCGCCTCCGTTGCCGGGGAGAAGACACGTGCCCAGAGGTCGCGGGATGCGTCGACGGTGACGTCGGCGGAGCGGACGCCGAGCGCGTCCGGGCGCGGACTGGCCGGCGACTGCCTGTCGGCCAGGGAGAGGAGGAAGCGGTTGACAGTGCCGTCGCGGCGCTCCGCGAGGTCGAGGCCGGTGGTGGACGCGAACAGCCGAAGCCGCAACGTCCAAGGCAGCACCGGCGGCGCGGAGCGCGGGCTCTCGACCGTGGCCGTGTTTTGGCTCCTCGTTCCGGCCTCCATTTCGCTCCTCTCCTCGGTGATTGACAGTGTAGAGTGTGAACTGAATTAGTCCAGGGATACAGCAGCTTATGAGCAAGGATTTAGATTGTTTTAGTATTGATGATTGGCCAAAGAGAATTAGTAATTTACAAGAGCATGTTGCACACAATAATGCGGTACTCCTATAAATTATTTCAAGTTGCTTTGAGAATAAAGTGCTACCCTACTAAAATAAGAACAATTCCCGCAAAAGAAAAAGTAAAATAAGAACGCTTACGCTGGTACTTTCTGCAACATTGCTATTTTAATACCACCACTACCTAAACAATAAGCACGTACACAACCGCTTGAAGGTAACGCATCCCTGTCTATCGGTGCTAGAATATCTACACCCGCGGCCCCTTATCCGCACCAAACGTCCGGTGCACGGACAGAAAAATGTCATCCAACTAAACCTGGAAAACCCGACCCAAACGATTGGGCTAATCCGCACTTTTCATGCCCGGCCCATATTTGGAGTGGATATGGGGACGCCCCGATGCTTCCATCATGTCGGTTCTAACAAGTTGGACCCATGACAAATCCTCTCAAAATTGTCTAGTCCGCCACTTCGACTACACTTCCCCTGCGTCTGTCCTCCATTTTTTGCCTCCATGCAGCTGCCCACTTCCTTTCTTGCACACCGTCCGTGCCACCGTCCTTGTTCGCCGTCGTTGATATCGTCGCCGACTACCCTGTCTGCCACCATTGGCATGGATGATGCCTCGGCATAATTGATGGGGACCCCGACCATGCCGTTAGTTGCAAGGCAGAGAACGTTGCCCATAGGGAGTGCCGCCGGAAGCAACGCGGGTGTGAAGCAGCAGGGAAGGTAGCTGCAAGGTTGAGCATGGAGAAGAACAAGATAGAATTGGAGAGGCAAGAGAAGAAGGCAAAATGGGAGCTCGCCGGAGAGACAGAGGAGACAGGATCATGTTGTAGGACACTAGCCTCTTAGACGATGAAGCCAAGATGTGGGTGATCAAGATGAAGAAGAGGATCAACGAGCGCAACAATTGAGGCTTTTGATTCATTCGTGTATCTTCTATCCATGTATGTATTGTTGAATTCTATTTTGGCATGTAATGAATTGTGAGTTGTCGTTTATTTTGTATCGTCGAATTGTTGAATTGTTGATAAATTTGTGCTATATGATGGGTGTGCATGGATTTCCATGGGAATGGGTGTTCACATAAGGAGAGTGTTGATGTATAGGAGGGCGAATGAAGACCCGCCCGGTGCTGTCGGCGGGCACATCTAGGCGCTTCCGCGGACGTATAGGGGTTCGGAGTAGCCAACTCCAGTTATAGATGCTTAGAAAACATGTGAATAGATGATTACGAAAGGTAGACCGGAGAGACTATATTTCTTAACGAGATTTATCATCATGGCTACATCTCCGAGACATGACTATGGGCACTCCTTTCTTTGTACTAAATCGATTAGTATAGGTCGACGACAAGTCCATAGAGGCAATCTGACATATCTCGACCTTACCCTGCAGCAAGTACTGACACCCCATCCACTGGTATCCGAACCGTTCCCTTTGTATCTTATGTTTAGCCTACTTCATCTAGTCTCTTTTGACTACTGTGCAGTGCCTTTATATATTAGGCCAAGGTTACATTGGCACCACTTTTCTTCTAGTCTTGATCGAATGATAATAGTGCTGCAGTAATCTCGCTTGCAGTGACAGTAGTCTTACCATATGTGAGAGTAGTGATCAAGTTTGCATAGGACCGCGGTAATTTAGATGATAGAAGTAATGTCATCTAGTCGAGCTAGATCAACAATCACTTGCTTGAAAACATTGATGTGCTCAGTAAGGTCTGACGCCTCCTGCATCATGCGCTCGAATAATTGTCATTTCGGATACAACTTGTTTGGTATCGTCTTGTATAGAAACTGAGTTTCCAACTTGGTCAATGGAGAGACAACAGAGAAACAAAAGGGCATCTTAAGAAAAGACACCCAAATGACATCTTAGATATGATAATTATGAAAGAAAACGAAAGCTAGCACAATGGAGAAACAACTGGACACAAAACAACCAATACAAATATAAAATTACTTTGAAATCATACTAGCCTTGTCTTCCTGCGGTTGACACAACCGTCGAATGTAATTGAGAACCGTCGAAGCCCAACACTATAATGAAGGGCCCACCCTCATACCATCAAATACTCTATGTTCCATTAAAGTTAGAGTAGATCGCTATTATGATTTGGTCGGGTTATGATTTTTGAATTTTTCAAAGTTTGCTTGGTTATTGTGATGGAGAAGAAACATGTAAGATGCCGGTTGTCACAACATGTTGGAAGTCACATGAGGGTCGTGCTCAGCACAAGTGTTTCCAAAGTATAACATTTTTCTCTTTTCTTTCGTTACAACGCATGGGTATTTAGCCGGTGCTATTAAATGCTAAACTTCATTCAAATGAGTTCGGGCCAAATGTACTTTCCACACTTTTCTAGTCTCTCACCATTTGACATAGCCTAAAAAAACATTTTACATAGACTCGTTTGTCGACGCCTTTTGTTATATAATATAAGTGTGTGGCAATTTTTCCAACAGAACATGTGAATTGCAATACTACTCGAGAATATGGTGAAGTGTGAAAAGCAGTTTAACATGCCATAGTCTAGAATTTATTTAAAATATGTGCGCCCATGCAAACAAATAGGTACAGCTATGATGCGCATGTAATATTTCCTCAGTAACTGGATATGCATTCAGACTATCTTAGAATCGTATTCAGCGACCAATTGGTCTCTATATTTTCTCTCGACTCAGAAATGTTTGAATTCCAGATAGAAAAACGACAAGTATCTTGCAGTGTGCAAAAGTAACACAAATGTGAACCAACTTTCTTTCAACATGTACAACTCTAGGCTACAGAGTGTGCCTACCGTCGCAAGTTATAAATCAGACAAATGTGGTTAATTCCTAGAATAATCGGGCAGATAGTAGGATTTCCTTGGCACTCGCCTATCAGTGATTATCTATACACTCTTCGAAAATAAGACAAAAAATAAACAATTCATAAAATAAATTAATGTGGGTATTAGTCACAGAAACTGCTATTCCTAGATAGGCTGTGATTTGGGCCTATCAACCCTTCTTACACTCATTCCCTTGGGACATTGGTGAATATCCACATAAGATGGAACAGAAGTATTTTTCATTTCTTCTGATGCACACTATGCAGAACAGTTGTCGTCATCTCATCGAGTGCTCATCTCGATTAGGATGGCGTGTTCAGGCACATAGCCATTGGGCTCTACATCACCAGGACTTTCTCCGATCCCACTGACAACCTGGGGATCCTCATTTCTGGCTTCATGGTGGGGTTGATCAGCCATAGGCCCATCGTCCATGTCGTTCTGCAGCGGAACAGATCCTGCGTGGCCTTCACTTCCACCATCCCCATTGGCACTCTGCATATCAGAATCCCTCACTTTGGTGTATTTGGCATGAACCAACTTGGCAATCCTTATCAACAGCATGAGAGCTGAGATACATATGGTGATGATGAAGAGACCAGAGAAACTTCGCAAAGTGAGAGGTGTGGCATCTGTGTTGGGGATACCATAACTCGGCAATGGTGTTGCTGTGCCTAACCATTTCGCTTCAATTCGTGATCCCTCATCCCCACCTATCAGGCCCAAGATGGCAACTGAAAGACTATGTACCAGTGGAGAATCTTGTGGAAACACCTGAAAACATAAACAGCATGCTAGTTAGACCACATGGTTTTGTCCAGAACGCAGTGTAACTCTTGTAAGGATGGAAAGTGAATCTACTGAAGGCACTGGGATGAGAAGCGTACAAAACCAAATCCAGGTGTCTTATATAAGCCGTTAACCATCTGAAACTCGTTATGATATCGAGGGTCAGAGAGAAAAGAGGTTAAATAGGGGATCTCATCAACTATAGCCGCGACGCCTCCATTCTTTGAGCCCTTTCTCAAAGCATTAGCATATTCCTCTTCCATCGCATAAGCCTTTAACCTATTTTCGGTGAAGCCTTGTTTTTTCAAGACAGAATATACAAATGATCCAGATGGGTATCCAATATAATCACCATTTGACAGGAGCTGACCAAGATTTGTCACAGAAGGACGGAGCCTCTTTGCAGTCAGAATGGATGATAAGCTAGCTGTGTAGCTCTGCACTATAACCAGCACGACAAAGCACCATATCACCACAACAATTTTTGACAGAGGGCTTCTAATAATTTGACCTGTGCAGATATTATGATTATCAAGAAAATGGAGTATTACAGACACAATATAAGTTGTCCAAAGTGAGAAAATGTCAAAGCAGAGAAAGAAATGTATTGTGAGCAAATTTGAGCCCAAAGTGCTAACCATGAGAAAATGTCAAAGTAGAGAAAGAAAAGTACAGAGCGGTGCTGAACTGTCTCGAACTCGATCCTTGGTACTCCAGGTTTTTAGGCCGCTCAATCATCCACACAACTATTCCAGTGAGAAAGAAGCCACCCACAATTGCTAGCCAAAGTTCCATTGTCAGTGGCTTTAAGAAGACCCATTCAATTGTTGGCTTGGAGTCATCCTCGTTGAGCACAAGCAATGACACGCCCGACTCAATGTATGGCATCGTGAAGTCCACATGAACAGCTCGCTCAGCAGTTATGGTTATGTCACCCACTGCTGCATCGAAGATCTGGTCATTGAAACCAACAGGTACAATGTGAGTATGTGATTCTCATGAAATGCAGAAATGGCATGCAAGTGAAATGAGCATGGCTCACCCCTGAAGACACATTGCGTACTAGTTGGTCATACAAACCGTCGACTACAACGAAGTGGTAATCAAGAACATGTGGTAGGTTCTTCGCGGCAGCCTCAAAGACGTCAATGCAGTAGCCAGTGACTTTTTCAGTAGTTGCATTCACAAATACGTTAAAGCCCGGTTTGTAAGGCACAGCAATCTTGAGTTTCTTCGAATAGCCTCTGGTCGAACCTCCTGACGCGTCTCTCCTCGATAATATTCTGGTGTTCCTTCTCTCGATTTCTGAAATAATACAAGTTTAGTATACCAATAAATAGTTCACAGTCAGTTTGTACTACAATGATATTCGGTCTCATCCCATCGATCCCTTTGTTTTGTACCAGCAAAGTGACAGTTACAGAAATTCCTTGCATATAATTAAATACTACTCCCTCCATCTCATAATATGTAAGAGCGTTTTTGACACCGCACTAGTGTCAAATACGCTTTTATATTATGGGACGAAGATCTAAAGAGTCTTATATTAATTTACAGAGAGAGTACTTATGAGACGAAGGCACAGCGTACACCATCCAACATTCCAGCTTACTCGTTATGGGCATTGGTTTGGAGCTCCTCACCTAGGTTGGGGAGGTAGCCGGCCGTAGCCGTAGGTGCGGCGAGGGGCCTGCACCAGTGACGCCTCTACTTCGAAGACGCGAGTCATAGCGCGAGCCTCAAGGGCAAGCCCACCTCCGCATCAGCCCCATAGGCAACGGCGTCCTGTCGCTACCCGTACGCTGCTCGCAGCCGCCGGGGGAGGGAGGGGGGTTGGGTGGGTGGGGCGGTGTGACGGAGGAGGTGGGGATCCGAAAAAGAGGGCTAGAAGCCTAGAACTTCAGGCATTGCGATTGCGATCAACAACGACTTCGCCGCCGGTGGGAATTCCCTAACGGACGCACGTTGCGTCAAAATGTCGATGTTTCGCAACTAGCGATCGCAGTGGGCCGGCCCATGTTAGCTGTTTAGAGTGTACACGTATCCTGGTTTTGAGAACGTTTAAAGTCCGGTATTTTCTGGTTTTAGGAACCTTCTAGAAGGTTCCTGGACGATTTCGTCTGGTTTCCCGTTGTTGTTTTGGTTTTTCTTTTTTCTTTTTATACACTTTTTATTATTTGTTTCTTCTTTCTTTTATTTGCTTCTTCTTTCTTTTATGTTTCTTTTTCGTTTCACTTGTTGGTTTCTTTTTTCTTGTTTTTTTTTCATGTTGATTTTCCTTTTAATATTTTTTTCTAAATTTTGTTCAGACTTTCAAAAAACATTCTTCCTTTAAAATTTTCTTCGTAAATTAAAAAATGTTCAAGTATAAAAAAATGTGCAGGAATTTCAAAAAATGTTCCTGTCTTTAAACTTTGTTCTCAACTTGAAAACATGTCCAGGAATACCAAAATATGTTTCTTTTTTTATTTTATTGTTCACAAGTTGGTAAAAAATTATTTTTGAAAAATCTTCAGGTATGTTTCTGTTTTCAAATTGCGGTCAGAAATTCAAAAAATGTTCGCATTTCAGAAAATATTCAAGGATTTCAGAAAATGTTCGCAATTTCAAATTTCTGTTCGGAATTTCATGAAATGTTCCATTTTTTCGTGATTACAAATTTTGTCATAAATCCAAAAGATGTCCACGTTTCAGAAATGTTCGAGAATTTTTAAAAATGTTCACAATTTCTAATAGTTCAGCATTTCATGAAATGTTCCATTTTAAAGTTTTTGTTCATAATTTTTAAAAATGTTCGCAGTTTTTGAATTTTTGTTCCGAATATCATGAGATGTTCAAATTTTCGAATATTTGTTAAAAAATTCAAAAAGTGTTCACAGTTCCGAAATTTGTTTAGAATTTCATAATCTGTTCACAAATTCAAAAAAAATGTTTATGTTTTTTCATTAAAATATATTTCTTTGTTCAATTTTTCCGCTCTTCACTTTTTTGTTCACATATTCAAAAAATGTTCATGCCTCTGTTTTTTTTCATCAGAATTCAAGAAATGTTGGTATTTTCCCAAAATACACATTAGAAAAATGTTCGCCGAGTAACTAATTCAGATTCGCTACAATAGCTACTTTTGGTTCGCTACAGTACTGGTTCTGGTTCGCTATAGTATACAATTCCTGTTCTACATTACGGCCAGTTCTTTAAGCCTTGCACTGCTTTATTAGCAAGAGCACTGGTTAAGCCGGAGTGTCTAGTAGCGCGTGGTAGTACGTAGTTGGTCTCCGGTTCAACTCCTACTCGGTCGTGCGCATTTTTTTTCTGCTGTATTTTTCGTGCCGTAATAGAACTCGATGGGCTGGCCCAGTCAGGTCGCTCTCTGTGCGTCACGCCGCCAATTTGACGCAAAGCACGTCAAATAGCGGGGATCCTATACGGCGCGTACCATGCCAGCGAGCGCCGTGGCGCCAACTCCCTGAAATCACTAATTAAGGAGTTTTTTTTGTGGAGATCACTCCAACTCCCTTAGGTTGCGACAAGTGGCGCGTTGCATGTGCGCCACTTGTTGCAACCTGGGAGTTTTTCCTTTTTTTGTAGATCCGTTTATTTAAAATGTTTTATCTCTTAAACCGTGCATCCAAATCTCAAACCGCTTTTACAGTTGGATTCCTCGCGTCGAGATCTTCAAAATTAGATCCCATGTTGACAGGTTTTGACAAAAAAAATTTCACGAAAAAACTGGACGAAAAAACCGAACCGGGAACACTGATTTTTCCCTTTCCGAAAGAGGCACGCCCGTGCCTCTGACGAAATCACAACCGTGCCTCTCGCAGAAGCAAAACCGTGCCTCTCGCGGAAGGAAAAAAATATAGAAAACACGTTTTTTTTTCTTTTTTCGAAAGAGGCATGCCCGTGCCTCTTGCGAAAGCACAACCGTGCCTCTGGCGGGAGTAAAACCGTGCCTCTCACGAAAAAAAGCACGTTTTTTTGTTTCCAAGAGGCACGGCCGTGCCTCTCGCGAAAACAAAATCGTGATTCTCGCGAAAAAATGCATTTTTTGCGCAAAAAAATTATTTTTTTCGAAAAAAAATTTTGGTCGAAAAGCTAGGGAAGACCGGTAGAAAACCGAAACGTCAAAAAAAACCCCAAAAAAAACCCGTTTAAAAAGCTGAAAACGCGTGCGTAAAAATAAAAAAGAATCCGGAGGGAGCGTCCTGAGCTTGACACGTGGCGAATGGCTGTGAGCGCGCCAAGTGACGCTGATCGTTGCGAGGCTCCCGAGGGAGCGCTCTTTAGTTAGTTGCTCCCAACTCCCGCCTCGACCGCTGTTGTTTCTATGGGCCGTCCTATTTCGGGATTTAACCCCAACCGGTTTTGGGAAGGTTCTAGAACCTTCCGTGAACCGGGTTTTTATGTTTTTCTTTTTCCGCTTTTTTTTCGTTTTTTGTTTTCTTTTCATTTTTTCTTTACTTCTATGTTTTCATTTTTATTCTTGTTTTTCAATTTCCAAAAATCTATTAATTCGTGATTTGTTTCTAAAATCGTTTTTTTTTAACGATGACATTTTTTCCAAAATCGTGATTTTAGTTTTACTAAATCGTTACTCTTAAATCATGAACATTTTTTTTAAACTGATAACATTTTTTAGAAACTCACGAACAATATTTTTGAAATCATGAACAATTTTTTTAGAAATATGTGAAAATTCTCTTAATTCATGAACATGTTTTTCAAATCATGAACATTTTTTTGAAATAATGAAAATTTTAAAATAAAGACTACTTTTTCAATATAATGAATAGTTTTTTTAAATTCGTGAACATTTTTAGAATTTAGAAAATATTTTATTGAATTGTGAACATGTTTTTCAAATTCGTGATTATTTTTTTGAATTATGAATATTTTTTCCAAATTCGTGAACATTTGTTGAATTAGCGAACAATTTTTTTGAATTTTTTAAATTATGCCATTTTTTAATTTTGTGAACATTTTTTTGCAAATTCGTGAACAATTTTTGAATTCTAGAGAATTTTTCTGTAATCATGATTTACTTATTTTTTGAACATTTTTCAATTTCACAAACATTTTTTTGAAATCTTGAACATATTTTTAAATTCATGAATATTTTTTAAATTTGTTAACATTTTGTGCCAAATTCATGAATAAGTTTTGAATTACCAAGCATCTTTTTGATATCCCGAATTATTAAAAAAGGAAAGGAAAAAAGAAAACGGAACATCCGCAAAAAAACAAAACCGGCAGCGTCCCGGCCATACATGGGCTCCCCTGCCGGTTGGCTGAAGGTCCAGGAAAATAGCCATGTTTGTTTGGGCTTTGGGTCCAAACAAAGGTTTTTTAGAATCACACATTTTTTGTATATTCCTTTCTGTTATGCGCCAAACAGTTTTCACTTAATTCAAATTTGAATAAATTAATACATTTCAAAATAAAGAAATGCCACCGTATCACATAATTGATATTTACGTATTTAGAGAACACAATGTTCATACATATGTAACAATATATCCATGAGTTATTTTTTCTTCATATTTATGTTGAAGAAAAATGTAATATTTGCAATCAGTAGGAAAATTAATAAACCTTGAAATAAAAGTAAAATAATAGAAACACAAAGATGAATACAAATTAAATATATAAAATAAAAAAATGTACTTTGAAAGATATATTTGAAAAGAAGTAGACCAAGGAAAAGTGGCTCTGTGGTTTATTAATTTTCCATAATTTTCACAATTTTCAAGTACTATGTAATATATGATCGGGCAGCTAATATTTCACAGTTCTTTATTTTGAAATATTTCATAATTATGGAAAACACTAATAAATAAAATCCCCACATTTCACAGTTCCATAATTTATCCCCATAGTTTGGTTTATGA